TTGTCAACAATTTTTACTTTTGTCAACACTTTTTACTTTTGTCAAAACTTTTTACTTTTGTCAACACTTTTTACTTTTGTCAACACTTTTTACTTTTGTCAAATCGTCAAAATGGCCCTTGGTGAGAAACCACCTTTAGTTAGTACTTTCGTCATGTCAATGACTAAAGTCAAAAGTTTCATCATACATCATTAATAAGGAGATAGTTTGTATAAAAAGCGCCAACCGTTCTTATATATGGTGTACATTGGCTTTAGTTTTGCAAATATATTCAAATTTTAATTGAAATTTAATTGGATAGATTTTGTTTTGGGATTAGTATTAGAAAAAGTATGAGAATCCGGTATTAGTTATAATATAGAGACTAGATGAATGCTTTATGGCAGTGACAAAGTCACTGGTGTTACTTGTTATTTACTGTTTTAAAGTCTCTATTCAAATAAAAGTTACTATTTGAAGAAAATTTTCTGGCCTTCAGCAAAGTTGAATGATTTTAATATTGTTATTTAATCACCAATAAAATAATTGAATCACGGAAAAAATCTCAGAGAACGGAGAAACAAATATTCTGATGTAACGGACCTTTAATTCTCAGATTAAATTCAAACGAAAGAATTTAAACTATTGGATCACTTTAGAAATAACTTGAAAATAATTCTACACAGAAAGTTCAAGTAATACATTTAATTAGGATAAATTAGGATTAATAAATAATATTGTCCTTATCTTTGTCCTTGTTGTCGACTTGAATATTGTATTTTGTAATGATAATAAATCTATCCCTAACAATGAATCCATACCAAATCCCATGCATAATCATTTTTTCTCTTATTTTATATTTGTCCATATTTTTATTTCTTTTCTTTTCTTTTAGCGAGGTGATATTTAATGAACACACCTGACTTGAGTATGGAATAACAGCTAAGGAAGGCACCCACTAAGAAACGTGATCAGTAGTGTAAAATCTAAAAAAGATATTGTTTAGTACAAGAAATTGTTTAATGATAGTGAAAGATAGTTTTGAGAGTAAAAGCATGCCAGAAATTATTTAATATAAATAAATATACTAATAAAGAATTATTAATTTTTTTAAAACGAACGAAGAAAGCAATTTTTTGCTTACAGTGAAAAAATGGAAATGATTGAACTAAAAAAATTTTTCTCATAATAATAAAAATTTTTTTTTAAACGAAGAAAACAATTTTTTGCTTCCAGTGAAAGTGATTGATTTTTGCAATCTATATGCAATAATTAATAATTAATAAATTTTCCTCAAATAATAATGTATAATTAAAAAAAGTAGTTAATTTTTAATTTTTTGAAAAATTGGCTGAAAGATTATAAACTCCAAATCAAAAGGCTCTTCTAACTCTTTCACCTTTTCCTTTTGCTTCACCTGATACAATTTTATATTTTTCAGTAAATTTTTCTTTATAGTTATTAACAACAATAATATCAGTTAACTGACTAGGCATTTTTTATTTTTATTTTTAAAAAAAAAATTTTTTTAAACCCAATTTTTTTTTTCGTTATTATTATTTTTCATTGTTTTATTTTACCTAACTTATGAGCTTGCATATTTTTTAAAAAATAGAAACCAGTGTAAGCCATTTGTTAATACAAATAAAGAATAAATTAATTAAGAAAATAAAGATATTTATTACTAATAAAAAGAATTATTAATTTTTTTTTAACTTATAAAAAAATTAATTTTTTTAAACAAAAATTTTTGCCTTCAGTGAATGAAAAATGAAAAAATAACTGATTTTTTGTTTTTACCTTCAGAGAAATGAAAAAACTGATTGATTTTTTGCTATAATTAAAATATTTCTCAGATAATAATGTATAGTTAAAAAAAATATTGGCACGAGAATTTTTATAGTTGATTAATTTTTTACATAAAGTGAAAAATAAAGTGAACCTTTACATATTTGATCTACAAATACATTTTCTACAACAAAACGATTACTTTTGTTTTCAATTCAACACCCAAATTTTACAAAAAATTCCTTCCCAAAAAAATATTTTAGTTCTAAACAGAATTCATTAATTTCGAATCCAATTCTGAATCCAATTCAATTCCAAATCCAATTCTGAATCCTTAATCCATTAATTCATTAATTCATTTAAAAATTGAGTCGCGTTTTTACCTGAAGATCTACTTTGTTGATACTTTATTAACATAAAAAATTACACAAATTTTGATATATGAGGCAAACGATAAACGTATTAACCCTTTTTATTGAAAAAATCGATAAATATGGAAGGTTACATGCATCAAAACTATTAGCTAGAAATTTATTGTTAAAAAAAATTTGTAATGTTCCTCGAAGACTTTTCATATATTGGACACAGAAAAATAATTGCGAGAAAATAATACCTTGATACCTGAACCGTATATAGGGGGATTTTTGTGTCGGGTGATTTTGATTGGAATGGAATTTTAGGTATAGCGTGCATCACGTTTTTTAAAAAATGATGATATCCCAAAGTTTTTGATATAGTAATAGTGTTATCTCAAAGTTTTTGATATGGTAATACGTAAAATTGGTACGCAAAAGTAATCAAAATTTTCGATCCAGTAATACACAAAGGTAGTACGTCAAAGCATAGACTATTTTTTTGACATGAAGAGGTGGTACCCGAAAGTACTAACTATGCGAGAAACTGTTCCAGGATCGAAAAACATAGCATACTTTTGGTAGTAACCCAAGGTAAAATTACAGAAAGATATATACACTTTGATGTACTACCAGTGGTAAACAAATTTTTGATTCGGTAGTACCCAAAAGCACCAACTATACATGAAAGGCTTCCAGAGACCCAAAACATAGTATACTCGCGGTAGCACGTCAAGGTAAAATTACTATAGAAATATATATTATAAAATTATGCTTTGGGGTACTACCAAATGAGATAACAATTTGGCACTACATGCCTCATCCTCGATCGGTATTCGAATGCATCCCGCAAAACCAGATTACGAATACTATTTCGGCACTATGTGCCTCAACCCGGCATTCGAATGCAACGTACAAAGCCAAAATACAGATTGCCAATTCGGCACTTCGTGCCTCATCCTCGCAATCGAAAAAGTTGGCAGTTCGTCTAGGAAATGTATTGTTTATAGCGATATAAAAAATGTGTATTTTTTACGAATTGGTTTTTTGGCCAAGAAGTGGGGGGTAGAGGTTCTATTTATATGTTTTTGTAGTAATTTATTGGACTGCTAGTACGACGCAAATGCGGATACTTCCATAATCCCAGAATGGGTCCTCAGATGGGCTCAAATGAAAAAACAATCACGAATTCTTCAAGCCTAAAAGTATGACGCAAATGCAAACTCGTCGTACCTCAAAGTACGACAAAAATACGAACCAATCGTACGATAAGTAGTTAACAGTCTACCATAAGTAGGTAACAAAAAAGTCCAGTACAAAAAGGACTGATTAACATCACTAGTATTTATGTTAATTTTTCTTTTTTTAGTTCTGAGCATTCAAAGTTCTGCTAGTGCAGATAAGATAGATAGATGAAGAATGATTGGGAAGATGAAAGCATGGTGAAAAAATTATGAGCACATACTGTATATACTAAATACAATGAATGATTTATTTGATTAATTTTATTAGATTTTATAAGTCAATATATGCTGTACATTTTGGGAGGCATTCATTTTACTGATAGTTCATTTCACTGACAACTCGGGGTTATATTTAACCTACACATAATCAAACAACTAATAAAATGCTAAAATGGTGCACTGCGAGTTGTTGGTAAAATGAACTGTTGGTAAAATGATTATTGGTAAAGTAATATGTGCCCATACATTTTTAGTAATAAAATTTTTTATCTAATTTTTTTTTTAATATTTTTATCATCCTTGATGTTTTTAATATCAATTCTTCCTGGATATGTTCTTTAATCTCTTTTATTTGTAATCGAAATTTGTTCCATTGATTTTCATAATATCTTCATTCTTTTTTTTGCCTCTTCTTCCAAATAAATATGATCTTTTTTGGTGTCCATGTCTCTTTTATCACTATTATTGTTTGTTTGTCCAATTGTTTGTAACAATTATCACATGTAACAATTGTTTCCTGTGACAATTTATATTATCTTCACAATATCTTTTCATTGAAATAAGATTTGATATTTTCTTGATCTTTTTGGGATCCATCTTTCTTCGTTATAACTTTTTTAATTAAATCAAAATCACCAAATGCACATAAAAGAATTCATGTAGCATTATTCCCATTTCTTCCCAATATCCCTGTTCCCTGATAATATCCCTCAAGAGAACCTGGCAATGAATAGTGAATCACATATCTTACATTAGGCTTATCAATCCCTTTATATACATAAAAATAAAACAAATTAATGCAATATAGATATTAATTAATTTATAAAATTCATACTTTACCCATTCCAAAGGTGGTTGTTGCGACTATGATGTGTAGTTTCCAATTTGCCATTTATTTTGCGTATTTATTCTAATTTCCTGCATGGTAACACTCAGCAGAGATTTCTTGATCAATTATTAATAACAATTTATAAATTATATTATCATGTGACAAAGTTTTAACGGAGCAGTATTATCATTGTGTTTTTAAATAATTCCTATACTACTAATTAATCATTATCTATATATTATATAATGCAATAACTGATTTTACAATTACCTCAGGTTTATGACAGCAGCAGACATTTTAATTTTGTCGTTAATTTCACCGTATCAGATGTGATATCGGAAATTCGTGGCAAATAAAGCAAACAGCACTTCTTTTTGGCTTGGAAGATCTAGAAAAAGATAAATTTAAAAGGCATAAGTTAGTTAAAGTAATAAGCAGTATATTAAAAGTCTTAAATAAATAAACAAACAAGATATGTAATAAGAGAAGTTGGTCGGGAAATGTGGTAATTACAAGAAAAGAATATTCATCTGTTGTGTAAACAAGAGTAATAGCAAAAGTAAAAAATATAAAATATTCCCATAAATATGTATTATTCATACTCACAAATGAATAAATAAAATAAGCGAATGTAATGAATGGAAAATAATTTGTGTATTTTTATGCAATTTGTTCATTACCTTCATTTATTCTTCGTAACGCCTTCCTACACTCCAAAACCTCCTTCCCCCATTTTCCCCTCTTCTCTCTCTAATTTTTTCCTTTCATTTGTGTGAAGTCTTTCAATTTCTTTCGCGTATTTTTTTTTTCACCACCTTTTTTACTTGTTTTATTTTTATTTTTTCCATAAGCAAAAGTCCGATTAATAATCCACAAATAAATTTCAGTGGTGAAAGTGAACATTTTTGTAAATGTCAAAAGTTCATGTTTATTTTATTGAAGTTTTGTTTTTTTTATAATATTCTTGAAGTTGAATGTTTAAATAAATTGATATTGAAGAAGTGTTGGGAGACTTTCTTAGAGTATTTGAACCCTGAAATCTTGACAACACTTCGTCTGGTTTTGCAGCAATATTGTCATACATATAAACTTTAGATCTCGTACACGTACGTACGTATGAGCTTAAATTTTTTAGTACATTGTACGAACATATCATGTGATTTTTGATAATTTTTATTGGTTGATATATATATGTTAAATTCGTCAAACCTTGTCACAGCGAACTATAATATAGGACTTACAAAATAATATTTTATTACCACAGAAAAATAATAATGTATATAATACTACTACATAGTAACAAGGATTTAAATAAGCATATATAACATGATAATCAGTTTTTTCTGATAATGAAGTAGTATTACGGCCCCAATTACAACATCTGGTCACACATTAATTATAGTA